CCCAAACCATGCCATGAATCATGCTACAATTTATAGTGACATGTAAATGATGTTATTCACTCTAGAATTTGCAATTATTACATGACTGGAAAAACCCTTAAAAAAGTATTGCGCATTCGCAATTTGTTACCACTCTGCGTGCGATTGTATGGAAGCGAGGAGAGTCGTGTGATGAAAAACAGGCATCGTACAGAATTTTGATTTACACTGCAAAAATCTGTGAAATTTCAGCTGGCATTTAAAAAAACCACACTCCCAAAGGTGGATTTTTCAATTTTGGTTTTTCGTCGTATTTGACGAAACATTGGAATATGAGAAACTTGTCTATTGTAAGTAAGTTTTTGACATCAGAGGGGTGTTTCACAAAGACTAAGATCGAGGAGGCGCAATAGCTCAGTCGGTAGAGCAGTGGTCTCGTAATCCGGTGACCTGGGTTTGAAACCAAGGCAATGCGCTCCAGCCCTTTGGTAAGGCATTAATCCTCATTACCAGGTCCCTCAGAGAGGACCTAAAGCTGTCGGTCGTCTGGTTGCTTACTTATAAGCATTTATGCTTTCTGATCAGTCAGGTAAAATAACCACCACTATTCACTTAAGTTGCTGTTGAACTATGGCAGGCAATTTATGCCCTTAAAAAGTCTTGAACCAGATGTAAAATTAGAGGAAAAAACCCTTAGAAATTATGATCTTTAGATAATGTTTTTTTTCTTCAAGAATAAAGTATCATAAAATGTGAATTCTGTAGATTTGTGACGTACCTTGAGACACCAATGGAGAGAGCAGCCAGTGGCATGAATGGCCCGCCATAATTCAAGTCCAACTCAAGTCCACCTTAGTCTTTGTGAAACATTCCCCTGAAAGAGGAAGGGGGGAGGGACTTAATTCCTGTGTCTATCCAGACATAAGCTGGTGGTTGACGTGTCATTCATGTATGAACAGATTCATATCATCTCACCCCACCAGCCTTGAGATACAATAGCTGCTTTCACACTCCAACAAAAACAAAATCATTGATTTTCTCACATTCCGTCGTTTCCCAGGAATTGCATAGAAACAATGATTGGCAGGGACCATGGGTTCAATGTGCAAGGGATATCCAATCACTTTCTATGTAGATATTACCAGCGTCATAAAAAAGTGATACCTCAACTGATTCCCCCCCAAATCGATGATTTCTCAAAATGGTGTTTGGGATGCGTAAATAGGCCTAAGGTAACTCTCTAGATATGATCGATGAGATGAAGGCCATCCACACATGGGAAGGTAATACAAAGTTTTGGTACGGAGTCATGAATTTGGTTCAAATGAATATATTGGAAGCATATGCGATCCTACAATATTCAGTGATCGTTGTGCGGTTGAAATTGAGTATAAAGTAATGTGTAGCTCCCTCTCAAGGTCAAAATATTTATTAAGCCATAAAACAATGTTTCTTGACTAAAATCGACCAATTGGATGTTTTCGTTTGAAAATTATGTATCACGACTACATACATGTATTCTGAGATTTTCATGGTCGCAGCTACAATAGTGTGGCCGTAAGCGCTATTTGAAATTTATCAAAATTTACCGGGAGCACTGGTAAAATTTTATGTTCAATTTTACTCTAAAGCAGAAGTGTTTTAGGGGCTAAATTTTCTAGTGCTTATAAATACATCCCTGAAATTTAATCCCTGACTTTAATACTCCTTTAGTCCTATTTCCTACATATTCTTCATTTCCAGCCTCTTGAATCATATACACTGTACATGTAAGCAAATGTTCCCCTTATCATCACAATTTGAGCTCTTTAAAGATGAAGTTGAGTTCTGGTCATGCGATTGCATTGTGAAAAAAACGGTGTGGAATCGACCAGAAAAGGTTGATCATCTAGCATATAAGAATTTGTGTGTATTGCAAGGTTTTGGAATCATCCAAAATGATAAGAAATTGGCCAAGTCTTGGTAAAGTTACAAACACTGTACACAGAAAGATGTATATGGAACTACACGAACACGTGGCGTAAAAAAACCTTTCCCCTGAGTTTTACGATGTACATGTACATGACATATTTAGAATATGAAGGCATTTGAAGAGCCATGCTTTTCAGGGAACATGTCTTATCTGATGTTCTTCCACACTTGCATTCATAATACAATGATAACGCTCACAAATTATTTTTCACCTCTTCCCAGAACTCAACCTTCTCTTTAATGTACAAGCTCAAGTGAACATTTAAATAGCATTGCATCTTATGGTTTTTTTCTTGTAATAATCACTTTCCTTGCATATCTTACATGTAAATATCAATAGTACAGCAGCATTTGTGGTATAGTCTGTAGCAGACTTAGTAAAGAAATTTTGGCTTGCACCCAGTAAATGAAATTTTGATTTTGTAATTAAAAACGGGTCAGAAAAAGTCTTGGAACCAGTGGAATTTGTACCTGCCATCTACTGCTTGCTGGGCAGTGACTCTACCACTAGGCCAACACCGGTCCATGGCACATTCACGATGAACTGGAAATAAATTCCTCAGCTCTCACTGGAGCAGTCAGCACCGAGTTTGAGTTTGAGTAGGGAATAGACAAAAGAGGCCTGTAGAGGGCGCTGTTGCAAAATATATTCCTCACTACATTGGACTGCTGTGTCTTGACAGTGAGCAATTTTTTTATTTAAAAAAAAAAATTGTCCCCCTTCAAAAATGATTTTTATTGGAATGTAACATTTAAACTTATTTATGTAGTACATGTAACCCATTTTTCGCAATTGAATTTCAGGACTTGTTTTCAATCAATTTTAGACCCTATCCTAGATTTTCAATATTTGATGTTATGCCTAAGCCCTGTCTTACAAAGAGTTGCAAATCAATTTAAATCAATCGCAAGTCCTCTAATCAAACGCAAGTTTGCAGTCTCCTATCTCTTATGTACATAATTATGATTGGTATCAATTGCAAATAAGTTGTGATTAATATCAACTCTTTGTAAGACAGGTAACTAAAAAATCGTAATTTGATTAACTAGTATCAACATACTTTGAGGGCATGGTTTGATTTTGCCTCTATAGCTATTGCGATATTCCTTTAGCCACTTACAAGGCAAGTCCACTCTGATATAAAGGTGGTTTTGATAGAAGCAGAAAAATGAGAGGAACAGGTCAGTGAAAGTTTGAGTAAAATTTGATTAAAAATAAGGAAGTTGTGAATTTTTGAATTTGCGATCAATCAAACACATATTGCATCTCTGTGATGCGTCTTGCGAGGTACTTTCCAATTTGCTGTGAACTAAAAATCAAAAAATCATGAATTTATATTTTTGCTAAAAGAAATTAAATTGAACATGTTTCCTAAACAAAATGATTGCAAATATGTTTCTTTACAAGCCCTGTATGAAACAATCTGCCCCGCCATCAATAAGTAAGAAAATGAAAGTTTATGAAATTTTCCATACAGAGCAATTTGGAGAGGAGCTCGCAAGATACATCACAGTGTGGCCAATTTGACTTGCATAGATCTAGGCCTTCTCTATCGTAAGACAAATTTTAGGGGGGGGGGGGGAAATGGTATTAATGCTTGTGCATGCAGTAGCTGCTAGTTTGACATATTTTGTACGTTTGAAAAGAATTGATTTCTCAGATACCTTTTGTTCATGATATTTGTTTGATGCTGAACAGATAATAGGTTGGATGCTGCTATCAAAAGTCCATTATTTTTTTTAAATCAAAGTCAATGTTGGCATAAAAAAACTGGAATATATTTTCTTGATGGTTGTGATGATGTATTACTGATTGATGATGGTAGGGATTTGAAACTCTGAGTGCATGCATTCCTTTAGTGAATCTTACAGGCATGGCTATATATCCACATATGAATCTGTACATGTATGTGGAGTGTTTTGTAATAGCGCCACCTTGTGACTGTAAATGTGCAATTCAGGCAAGACAGGAAGGTATGGTCTTTTCATCTGTTTTTAAACAAGGAATTAGAAGAATGTCTTATTCTTTTTTCTTCTTCTATTTCTCTCCTTAGTACTGGAACATATTTCTTTTGTGATTAATGTTATTTGCATTCATTTATGTATATATGTATGCAATCTATGCATATCTCAAATGTCTCTTAGTATTACGATACTAGTGAATTTTGTTAAACTGCCTACCAAAATTATTTTATTACTGACTTTCTTACCCATTTACTGTTAATCAGCATCATGGCAGTGCCACTTCTCATCTGAATGTTCATCCTGTTTCCCCATTTTCATGTTGATTCAGATTCATGTTTCATGGCATTCTGTTTTGTACCCAAGATCGTTCTTTTGTCCATGGTTTGAATATTCACTTTTCAATGTAAAACACCATCACCACCGTCATCAGCATCATAATCATGATCACCACCACAATTAGATTATCATCATCATCATCTACATCGCCATCTCCACCATCACTACCATCATCATCATTATGATCATTACCACCACCAATATCATCATGATCATCATCATCCCTACCACCACTATCATCATCACCACCAATATCATCATCATCATCATCATCATCATCATCATCACCACCATCACCATCACCATCATCATCATCATCATCATCATCACCATCATCATCATCGCCACCATCACCATCATCACCACCACAACCAATCATCATCATCATCATCACCTCTTCCACCTCCGCCACCACCAATCATCATCATCATCATCATCATCATCATCATCATCATCATCATCATCATTATCATCATCATCATCATCATCATCATCACCATCATCATCATCATCATCATCGTCATCATCATCATCATCATCACCATCACCAGCAGAATAAAAAATTATTATTATAATTATTACCTCGTCTTCATCATGATCATCAATATTATCATCTTCACGATCACATCATCCTATCAAATCTAATAATTTCATTGTTTCCTGCCCATTTTTCCTACACACATCACACAACAATTTGTACGCTCACCTGTACAGTGAAAGTGTAAACAAAGTATACAACATTTTGTTTGTTTGTTTTTCTCCCATTGATTTTAATTTCACCACCACTTGCATCAAGCTAATTGACAATAACACCCGAAGCTTAAGCTTACTCCATCATCTTAGAAACGACAGCCTTCACCCTTGAGTTACAACATTATATTTTACTGTTCATGACTGAATACAAGTGTAGTTATAAATACTCTTGAGAATAGTGGACTGAGAAAATGGAAGATGAATTTATAGCAGAAATATCTCATTAAGAGACTAAATACAATCGAATAAAAGAGAAAGGTAGAGAGAAAGAGGTGAGAGAGAGAGTTTGAAACTTAGGTGAAATTATACAGTCTTGTGTCAAGGCAGTAAAGATGGCAGAATACATTGATGTATTCAGCTCTTGAGGAGAAAAATGTAAACTTTGTACATTAATATTCAAGGCAGACTTTTTTTTGTACAATGGATTAAATACACCTCAATATATACAAGTCATAAGATAAAATTACATAATTTGTATGTTTTAATTTACATGGTCACTATATATAGATATGCATATTTTTGTTTACCTTCGCCCCTAGCTGGCAGTAGAAAACATTTATAGAGACAAAGAATGCATGAATAATTAAAATCAAACAGAAGTAAATGCTTTCGATTCAAATAATCAAGGAATTCACGTCTTGTGAACAATGCAGATTGAATACAATATAATGGAAGTGTTCGTATGCCTGCAATTTTCGAGAAATTCTCACCACACTTTGCTGCTAAAATGAACACGAGAATGAATACATTTTTGTAAGAATACGTAAGTTTAACCAATTTCAAACATACATGTACATACTTTTCTTACTGTAATATCCCAAGAGTACTGATAAAATATTTCAAACATATTAATATATACTTCAAAAATAAACAGGAGCAGAAGAAAACATCCATCACCCCTGTTATCACTTTACAAATATTTTTTTTTAGAGTGTTCTGAATACACCCACAAGCGCTTTAGGTACAAACTTAAGCCTTTTATATATGTTCTTCCCCGTTAAAACTGAATACAAATTGCATAAAATTGTGTTCCGAGCCCTGCTTGAAATCTTGCATGTGGATCTTCCTTTAAAGGTATGTTTTGTACAAAAATAAGTTGCTCATTTCAGATGTATTTACAAAATAGAGTAATACAGTAATCCTTGCTGCAAATTGATAGAATACATTCACATTTCATTTATAATGCAGAAAAAGAAGACATTCATATTCCATAATGATGATAATCATATAAGAGTAGATTCAAAATACACAATTAATGCTTCCACTAATTTTTGTTTGATTTTAAGCTTTCCTGTTATTTTTATTAAATTCATATTTTAAAAGTTCAAGATATGCTTTTGCCCTAATTTCATACATCTGTTCATTGCTTATATTTCAGTATGTCTGCTGTAATAACAAGGTGTAGATCTGTGAATGCATAGAATATTTGTGCTTTAATTTGTAATTTTCTCTCTTGTTAATTGTGGTATTATTGAGAGGCCATTACCAAGATGCAATTCATTTTTGCAACTTGTGACACATCATCTTCAGAATATTCTTTCCCTGCTTTTTCAATATTTAAGCGGTCTGAGGGTTTAAAAAATCAAAGTCACTGTTTAATCAGTTCCAAGTCATCTTCCTTCAGAACTGAAAAAGTTCTTGAACAGTTCTTGGATATCTTTCCATTGTGTCTTGAGTCACGATCCTGGTTGTATGGTTATTTGTCCCCAGAGTTTTTTTTAGCAGACCCAGTCCTAACTTTGCAATCCACCAGGCTGTTTTAAGGTGGTCTCAGACTGCAAGTTAAGCCCTTTCAGGCAGCTGCAGAGTTGTTCTTTCATATGGTCTCAGGTTGGAGGATGTGGCCTTTCAGGCAGCTGCAGAGTTGTTCTTTCATATGGTCTCAGGTTGGAGGATGTGGCGCTTCTTGGCCACGATCTTGTAGGGTTTAGGGATCAGGGAGACGGCAGCCTCTCCCTGGAGATCGGCCTCGACATCCTGGGGCATCTCGAAGGAGAATTCCTGAAGGAGACGACCCAGCATGAGGAAGAGTTCAGCCTTGGCCACATTTGCCCCTAAGCACCGCCTCTTACCCACTGAGAAGGGCATGAAGTGCGGCAGCTGGGAAGGTTCCTTCAGGTTGCCCTGGTCGTTGAGGAAGCGCTCTGGGAGGAACTCTTCAGGCTGGTCCCAAGCGTCCTCGTTGTGATGTACTGACCAGAAGTTTGCCATTACGGATGTTCCTGTGAAGAGGGAATAAAAAATGTGGAAGGTTTTAGTCTCAAGGAAGTACAATATCTCTTGCTCCACGTTATCAGTCTTTATACTATCCTCCTTTTTTATTATTCAAATTCTCTTGAAAGAATTTTGTACATATTCTTTTATTTGATAAATATTAATATTTACTTTAATCCATATAAATCTATTTTGTATTACAAGGAGAAAGAGAGTACATTAATTAGCTTCAACTATTGGTCCTTCCTGAGTGGGAATTCACATTTCACTGTACTTCATTGTAAATCACCAAGATTGAATTGATGAAGAAATTAAAGACTCGTACCTTTTGGGATGAAATATCCATTGATCTCTGTGTCTCTTGCTGCTGCATGTGGCACACCCAGAATGGTGAGAGAACTGTACCTCAACACTTCATTAATGACTGCCTCTGTACACGGGAAATAAAAACAAGAAAATAATTTAAAGAAACAGTCGAAGCTAAATTGTAGTAGTTACCTGATAAGAAATATTAGCGTATGATGCAAGAAGTTAACTGATAAGATATCCTAGCATATGATGCAATAAGTTACCTGATCAAAAATATTAGCATATGATGCAAGAATTCAGATAATTGAAGATTGCAGTTGCTCCCTTAGAAAGCCGACGTTGGAAACGTTTGGCAGTAAGTGAAAGGATGTTTGGCAACAAGTGTAAGTAAAAGGAAATGTAGTCATAATGCACTATGCATAAAGTTGAAGAGCGCCACCTTGTGGCCGAGCTGCTCAGTCACCCATCAGAGTTCAGTGACTTCTGCTATTGTATTGAGCACAGCTGAGGGAACTGATCACAGAAAACAAGATGAGATCGATCACTGTGCTTCAGCTTGTGATCATCAATTGATACAATCCATATCACTTGCTTAGCTGACGCTAGAGCAAGGAGGATTTTTTGTGTGTCTCTTCTCTCTGTCTGCAAAAGCGAGACAAATATACCATACCCTCGATTCTGTATCTATCATTATGCAGATCAATCAAGAAAGAGCTTACTGTAGGTTGTGTACACTTACTACACTACCCACTCATACTATAATTGGTTCTTACAAAATACTGGAGATTGATGAAGGAACCAAAATAAAATGCTTATTTCTCATACTCTCATTAAACTATTCATTTTGAGCTTTTGGACGATTTCCCCTTGAACTACCGCACTTCCTGTTATTAAAGTCAAGGAGATTGAGCTTGAGTCTCTATTCTGTTCCCTATTCTACTCCTTCTGCATTTGTTTTTAGCTGGGAAGAGAAAGTGGCACCAGAGTACTGCGTGCAGATCTTTGACTAAGCTTATGAAAGTTTGAAATGCATCATTTGAGGGTATTTATAGCAGCAACATATATATGTGACCTTCACAACCTTATGAATATTTCTGTATATATCCTGTATTCAGTATATTAAATTCCATTTATCATTTGGAAGAGGAAAGGTCTGATTTAAAAAATAAAAATAATTCTGATGATGATCCCTAAGAAAGCTGTGAGAATATCCCCCCTATAATTTCCTAAATATTAGTGAGAAGCAATATACATTGTATGGTTCATTTCTTTGAAAAGGGCTGTTGGGAGAGGGGGAGGGGGGGGGGGTTGATAGGTTTTACTTGTAGTTTATTATGTGTCTCTTTGTCGTGAAACGGTGGGATTGCAGGGGCTGTCCATTGCCTTTCTATTCAGGAAGAGGAGAGGGAAGGATGGGACCTTACTGATTGTCTTCCATCCTGAAACAGTACTGGAAATCAAAGCAATTTCAAGCCTCGTCCCCAAAATGCTTGTTGACATCCTGAAAGTTCTCTAAACATTGAGATCTGGGCTAGTCTAGGCGGAGTAGTTCTTCGGGGAACTGATTGCTTGTAGAGAGGTCATCCCTGATTCAAGCCAGCATTAGGGAGAGGAGACAGGAAGAACTGCAAGAATTAGGTCTCCAAATCCCGCAGATTTACCACCAAAAAAAAAAGGGGGCCAAAAAACGTTCTCCTACAGATTCCCACCGAGTGTCGAAATCAATGTACATCAATACTTTTCTAGCGCTTTTGTCTATACTCGTTGTTATCTATGGAGAGTGATATCATCTGTATTATGATAATGGTGATTCTTTTGTAACACTTCAGTCAGCCCATCGTTATTACGTAGTAATCATACTTTACAATTTTATATCCCATTAAATGCCTTTAATACATACAGAAGTATTTTTAATAAAAATTGCTACTAAAAATTGAAGTAATCAACAAAAGAATTTATTGCTGAATATAGTGGAAACAAGAGCGACCTTCCACCATCCACTTTGTCATATGTTCTTTACCTGACTGAAAAAGTGAACATCTGAATAAATTTGGCCTTTGCAAGTTCAACTGAAAAAGAAATTTCTTCTGAATTCTGAATTGCTGGTATTCATATTTTTTGATAGATGAAATGCAATTGTCTTGTTAACAAACATAATAACAGGAATGTAGACCGGTTTAATAAGTCTACTTGTTTCAAAAGAGATGCAAGCGGGGAAGTATTTAAATTTCCAACAGTTTTGTCAAAGTGTCAGGCAAAATAATGGGAGGCATTTTCAGCAAATGTTTCTTAAATTGTTGACAGCCAGAACGGTTGTATCACATGTAATTGTAAATATAATCACACATGCATTGCCCCTCTGGCTATCAACGGAGGATGATTGTTGAGTGTAACTTACGGAGGTATGGAAGCTGAGATTTGTGTTCGAGTGAGAGACGTTTCGATTGTCCGATGATTCTCTCCAGTTCCTCTTGGGCCTTGGCTTGTTTCTTGGGAAACACCGCCATGTAGAGAAGGCTCCATTGAAGTGTATTCGTCACTGTGTCGGATCCTGTGAATGGAGAAAAAAAAAATTTTTTTTTTTTACCCGACTGCTATTAAAGAAAGCATATGTGGGCTTGTAAGTAAGCAACCAATCAATTCATTTCAATTTTGACATTTAACAAACTTGAATATAAACCCCAAAAAAGGCAACCTTCATATAGAGACAGAATAATATTTGTATCTCTTGTGTATGTCTCTGGCGTGTTTTGATTAATAATAATAATAATAATAATATTTGATTTTTATATAGCGCTTCATACAAATGTCTCTAAGCGCTTTAAAAATATACTATTACCCCGGTCATTGGATTCAGTGCTTGCCCGCACACACTGTGTGCACAATCTCCACTCCCTGGGGAGCATTAAAAATAAAATAAAATTGATCAATCACAAATGACAAATGAGTTATGAATTTAAAAGAAATTGAGATAAGAAATGCCCGTTTTCAATTATAAATCAAGGTAAAAGTTGTCCTTGCTTTTTTTATACTAAAATGCATAGTGTTTCCCATTCCACTGTTCACTATTTTCACAGATATTCCATTAGGAAATATTTTGCTGATCTACAAAAATTATTATTATTTCATATAATGCAGACATCGCCCTGCACCAAACTCTTCATGGATAGAACTAGACCCTATGTCGATCAGCAAGGATTCCATTTTTTTTCTTCTTCGTTTTGCCACGTAGATGATAAAAGATTGGCAAGTGAGGGAATTTGGTGAGATTTTTGGGCACGAGGTCAGATTGAAAGCGAACACGTGTGTGAGTGTGTGTACCTGGATTAGACCAGACGGAAGTATTTAAAAAGGAATTCATGAGCTTACAGGTGTGCTGGCTTTCACCAAACTCTCCCGTGAATATTTGCCGATAAACTTAGACCTCAAAACTCGCCATTATATTCCGGCTTTATCGCTACCTTCGCAAAGTTTGCCAACTTGCTAGGACGACTGACCTTGCAGGATCACACACACACAAATTGAAAGAGGAGAAAATGTTGTTGATTCGGGCTACCTTTACTGTATGCTTCCCCGACCGCGGGGGAAACAAGTTGCGGAGAAAAAAACAGTAAAGGCTGACGCAGACTAACTTTGTGTTTTGATATTGTTAGTAAACGCTTTCCGCTATTCACAATTTGCCGACAAATACATGTATTGTGTGAAGCGTGTGTGTAACGTTTCCGCCGGGGAACGAGTCCCGCTGATGTTGACTTAACCTGGAAAGCATTTGATTCGTGAAATTCTAGAAACGGTGTGTTTGCTCTATTAAATAAATGTAGTTCATATCCCAAGCGAGGACTGTATAGGATTAAAGGATGATGACGATTGTAATGTATCATTCATTGCGCTATCTTGAATCTTCTTGCTTTCTAAAAAAGTAGTGGTAATGGCATACACCACTGAATTGTGCCATGCATCACAGACACAGTGCAGTTGCATTGGCTACATAAACATCTTCCTTTAAAGTGTCAAAATGATTCCTTTACAGAAATGACTTATCTCTTAATCATTTGTTCCTTTTGATTAAGATTTAGTTCTCCATTTTTCATGTTTCGATACTCATCTTGGGCCTTCAACAACAACCAAATCTTTATTTTCACTCCCATAACTCAAAATGAGGCTACCGGGTACTCAGAAACCAGAAGTGAACAAAAGTATGTTTTAGTAATAGAATGATTCAATACAGAAATGAATGTTATTCATTCCAATTCTCTCTCTCTCTCTCTCTCTCTCTCTCTCTCTCTCGTTCTCTCTCTCTCATTCTCTGACTGTATTGTAATAAAGTAGGACGCTCTTTGACAGAGCAATTGCTCTTGTTTGCCCTCCCTCAGTTCAGTTCACTATGAGTCAAGGTACCGGTGTCCCTGATAAAAAAAAAACTGCATTATTCGGTGACCGAAATGTTAACGCTTAATTGTGTCATGTAAACATTGAGTTACTAGGCTTGCCATGTGGACGGGGGCCCATGCAGCTCCCAGTTATCATGACATTTGTTGTGATGACGAAGACCGTAAACTCTTTGTGTATGCTCCATAATATCTGTGTTATTGGATCACTTTTGGTGAAGTTACTTAGCCAGCTAGCACAGTCACTGCTTTGTGGTTTGGAACAGCAGGCGTTTATATGGTGTAAGTTTGGTCATTGTCCATATGTCTCTGTCTGTTTTCGTAGTATATCGTTTATTTGTGGTTTCTTTTGGATTCATTCCAACATAAACATTCCACAACATATGTATTTATTTGTTGTCATATAGTATTTCTCATCTAAACATTGTTGTATTGTATTCAAATCGAATTTGAATACACTGTCTGTACTGCGCTCGTATGAACTTTATAGAATATTTTTACACCTGCAAAAGTTACGAATGTTCTTTCAATTTTATTTGTCAGACTCGGTGGTATTCCTGATAAAAATGAGTTTTCTATGAATTTTATAACAAAAAATCAAAAGAAGAGATGATTTTGAGTACTTACCAGCAAAAAAGATAAGCCACATGTTGATGATAATGTGCTCAGGTGTGAGAAGAGCAACAGCTTGCTTGTTATTTTCTGCGACGGCTTCCGTCGTCTCGGCGAGAAGCCCATCCAGCATGTCCCTAACCCTTCCTGCTTTGTATGTCACCACATGCTCCACGTACTTCTTCATGAGAATTCTGTCCCTCTGGTTCTTGGCCTTGAAGAGGCTCGCGAACCATTTGTTTGGAAAGTGCCTCAACCACGGCATAGCGTTCACAGGATGCATCGGCGAAAGCAGCTTGGAGATCTCCGCTGAAAAGTCCAGAATCTCCCTCATTTCGGGATGGTCGTGCTCGTAGCGCTCACCAAAGACAAAGTTACAGAGAATATTGAGAGAGGCTATGTGAAGATCGCACTGAGGATCGAAGGGCTTCTCGTTCTGGGCCTCGAAATGGTTGACGAGATTGTTCGCTTCCTGGAGAATCTTTTCTCCCATGTCCGCGTTGTTCACGACGCGCATGGCCTGGCGGCATATCTTCATGTGCATCTGCCTTTGGATTTCGTCCTTACACGTGAGGAATCCCTTCCCGCCGGCCAACACGTCCATGCAAAAGAGATCCGGTCTGTGCGAGATATCAACGCCTCTGTATGCTGACTTGATCAGTTCTGCGTTATTGAGGACCACGACACGCTCGGAACCGAGCTTGATGCTGAAGATATCCCCGTAGGTCTTTGCCAGCTCGATAAGGGAAAGATGTGGTGACTTAGGATTAATGCTCAGAACATCACCGATGAAAGGTATCGAGGTTGGTCCGGGCGGTAGTTTGCGAACTTTATAGTCGTAATGTTCCTTGAGGTAATAGACTGCACACAGGGCAGTGCCCACGGCAGAGGCAATCACAATCATGATGAAGCTTTCGCTGGACTCTCAAATTTGGAGAAAAGTTAGAAATTGGAAGCCTTCCACTTCTGTTTGCTACTTCAATGCAATAGTTAGATCTGTACAAAAAAGAAAGCGAAATACAAGAATGTGTTAGTAAAAAAATGAATAGAAGTAAAAAACATGATAGAAAAAATTGTTTGGATTTAGAAAGCATTTTTTTGATGTTACAAGATCATGATCAAGTTCATGAAGTTAACAATTTTTTAAAGCAATACCAATAATGAAACTGAGGAAAGACTATTTAAATATACTGTACCTGACTAAAAAATTAATGATATCTGCACACAGATCCACAATAGAATGAAAAAACAAACACTGAAAAGTTCTGCTTGATATCCAAAATGTTTGCTCAAGTACACACGCTAATAGAAAAAGAGGAACATCCTGTAAGTTGGCATGGACATGGCTCGAAACATCACATCTCTGAAACACTTGGATTTGAAACAAGAGCGAGAGCGGGAGAAAACAAAGTTGTGAGTTACTCCAACGACAGCCAAAGCAGGACTGAGGCAAAATAGGTCACTCCTGGTGCACTATATTATGAGCACGGACGATCACATGTGTAGTATCACGGTCCACGATAGTAGTATGTATATACAGTGTATATGTGTACTCCTATGTTTGTAGACCGGGAGTGAGGGAGAGAGAAAGAGGGAAAGAGAGAGCCGCTAGTATGGGTATGGGTGAGCAAGGGAGTGAGGGAACGTGCGTCAATGATAGGGCTTGCTTGTGTCTCTGTTTTATGACCGGGGAGGTGATTGTGGGCTGGGAATCGCGGCTCACTAGCCGAGCAAGCTGAGAGAGCGGCCCCGTGAAAGAGACTTTGAGAAGCGATGGAGAGCGAAGAGCGGGGAACAAGTGTTGTCAGGGGGTGTGTAATACCTTGCTGATCCTACCCGGAGCCCTTGGGGCGTTAGCTTGTCACGTTACCTAGCCCTAAGCCACAGCCAGGTACAGAGGGGAGAATTTATGTCTTCATCCTCTCTGCCGCATTTTTTCCCCCTTCTTCTTCTCTCTTTCTTTTTTGGCAAAGGGGGAGGAAGGATCAGTAAAGGGTAAAGGCTTGAGGTTGGTTTGTGGGGGGAGAAAAAAAAAAGTGAGCATGCCGGGAGTGTTGAGATGGGAAGGCATGCATGTATGTATGCACGCTGACAAAAAAGAAATGACCTTCCTCGTTTAAGTCCCAGCGGAATCCGTCTCTATCGTCACCCATAATACTCTCTTGAGCCTTACCATCATAGTACAACAATCCACCATTTTCTTCTCACCTTATGCTTATCACTCTGCCCCCCCCCCCCCCTCCTCCTCCTATCCATTCCTTCATCCCCTCATACCCATAGAAGTATGTCCAACAGGGAGAGAACAAATTATTACTTTTTCTTGCACAAATTGCAGTCAAGAGTTGAGAAAGATACTAAATGTTAAAACAAAAATTGGAAAAATTAATTGTTCAACTCTACAATCAAGACATATTCCCTATTTTGGTTAGTCAAATTTCATTGTGATTATTAGAACTTATGACTTATTTGACAGCATATAGCCGTAGAAGGAGAGTGAAATTTTTGATGAAAACAGAAGAAATGTATCTCGAATCTCGATGCTCGTCTCTCAGTCTGTACTGTTGATTTTATTTTTGCTTCTTAAAAATGAAGCTTTTATGATTATATTAATCCTCATTTTAGTAAATATACTTCATCATTGATTATTTAAATTGCATATGTAGCTTCTTATTACTTGATACAGCTGCTTTCATGTTGGTAAAGTAAAGGCTTATAAATATCAAAGTATTCTTTCAGCAAAAGACCCAAATTATTGTATAGTTATGTTTCATGAAACTATTTATTAGTGCAGAGTATAAAGTTTAGCCAATGCTTAATCAAATTCATGATATACATTGTGAATATGTATACTGGCAAAAAATGTTAATCTTTGAAACACAATCTGATTAAAGATAAATTATGGGGAAAGTGAAATTTATTAATGAGTAATACATCATGACTATGATGATCTATTGGAATACATTTTTAAAAATTAATAATGAAATATAATTCTCTTAGAAGTAAATTAAAATTTAAAGAAATTAAACACTGCAGCTTAGGTATAAGTTTATGACATAAGAAATTTCTTTAATGTACTTACAATAGAAGAACAAAACAGAGGATATGGAAAGTACTTTATAATTATTCTAACTTAAAGTGATTTTTGTAGATAGGATTTAATTTTAGATTCCATGCCAATACTAGATTAGATTTAAAGCCTGCTTGATATAATACATAATCCTGTGAAGGAAATAAAGCTGTGTTGTCATATTACATGTTCATGATTATTGCAGTAATTGATCATTTCCATACTGTCCTATGAAAACAGCTATATATTTAACACAGAAACTTACTTTAAAATCAGAATTACATAGCATTTCTGAAATATCTTAAGTATCTAACGTAAATTATACATTTAACAAAGGTGCAAGTGCATTATTTCATACATATATTTGCCAACTAAATGTTTTCCAAATTATATATTACTTTATTCAAAACATTAGAAGTAAATCTGTAGAAATATCTTAAATGAGACTGATTTATTCCTTTTGACATCTTATAGTGAATTGGGAAATAATCATTGAAAAATAAACATTGAAAAATATGAAGTGTACACTTGTGATATGACATTTATTTACTAAAATGTGATTGATATATTTTAGTATACAGGAAAACATTTCAATGTGTTTATAATAAACATAATGAAAATACAGAAATTCATTTGACGGTGAATAAGAATATATAATATAAATATGAATAGCATGTTGCAATAAATTCCCAGCAATGCGATAAATGTACGTCGTTAAATTTTATGAGTCTTTATACAAGAGTATTTATGACAAACGTAATACATCAAAAGCAAAAAAGTTGAACGCATTTGATGAGGAGGCTGATTATTCTGTCTTTCGAGTATAGATGTAAATTGTGATAGCCCAGACGTAAACAAAATTTGCGATTTTCGGAACGCTTATGTGTGAAAATATTCGACGTACATATACGTGTGTATTAGAGAACGCGAAATCTGAGCATACTTACTTGTTGCCGCGTCGAAAATCCGGCCTTCCGAGCGAAGATTGCAGAAGATTCCTAAAGATTAACCGCAAATGTGACTGATAGTTATACGAGTCGAAAACTAACATGCAATCGAAGATGTTCTTCCCTTTCGGGTAATTAAAATCAGCGTGACAAAAAGATATCCTCGCAAATTATAATCAAAGCTGATGATGGCAGCATATTTATAGCCGTACTCAACATTGGAAAAGAGGTCAACTAAATACTGAAAGAAATCATGTTATGTGTCAAGCCTGCCAATCAGGAGGCTGCAGCCAATCACAGACAGCCGTCTTCCTATTGGTCAGTGGAGCCATGACATCACACACCCACACAGAGTGGTGCTCGCTCGTTTGCATACGTTTTTGTGTGTATTGTTAGGTATTTGTAGTTTTTTTTCTCTGCTTAGGTCGCACTTGGCTACCGTGTTCATAGTCATCGTGCAGTAATTACACTTGGGGTTTACGTTGTTTTGGCCCTAGTCTACTGCAAGCAGACCCTGTTGGAGTTGGAGTACTTTGAGAGTTGTTTGTCGAGTGGGACCTGGATAAAAATGATATGAAGTACTTGTATCGGCAGGTATGCTTTATTATTGGATTTACAGGCATGCACACAAGCCTATTTTAATTGTAATTTTTTATAATTGATAGATAGACTTATCTTTACTCCCAAGTTGCAGTACTGTGTATCTTTAAGTAGACTATGGCACCGGTATGATTGTCCATTGGAGAACAAATGGAAAGATGTAATTTGAGCAATTATGTTTGTTTAATTGAAGAGATTTGTTTAAGCGTAATTGAATGAGTTCTATGTTGGTTTATTGGATATGTTTGAGTGAGCAAGCTTGCCTTCCTATATGGACCAATCAGGCTCCCTTGCATACCAGAAATAAGACCCTTCCATCCAAAACAGTGCTGATCAACAAGAGCAACATTAAAAAGTATGAATTAGTGCATACCTCTCAAACAAACAAGACCCTTTTTATGCTGTATTTGACTACGCACTTTACTTCTCTGTCACTCCCTTTACTTGGGGGTTATCAGTCATTCTTTGGCTGCACACTTTGGGTAAATATTTGGCCAGGGAATGATTATCTCATTGACTTTGCGATTACAAGCCTAATTCCGTATCTAGGAGATACATAAAATCTGGAGCAATGGCTTGATTTATGCGTTCTACTTTTTTCATTGAATTAGCCCCTTTCCCCTACATTTGCATGCCCTTGATTTGAGTGTACTAGCCTTATCGGTCAAAAAACGTTCCTAGCTTTTATGATCAAACACGATTCAAACTTTTTTTCCCCCTCTTTACCTCTCTTTGATAGTATCTAGTTCAAATGTCTGCTGGCTTGATCAGGTCTATTAAGCAATCGATGACAGGGTGAAAAAAAAACTGTTGACTTTTTGAAGAATAATATGACCTAATTTTGAATGAATGTTGGTGCACGTCTGTAAATGAGTGTACCTCTTGACCAAGTTTTCTCTGATTAAATCTTTCAGTCCTAGATGCTTGTGTTGTGTTCTAATTTCAATAATGGAAGCACCATTTGGGTTTCTTGATTTGTTTCACCCTAAACCGTGTAACCGTGCTTCAGAACGATTTTCCAGAACGGATCCAAAGGTTTTGTCATTTTTAGTTTGATTGGTCTTGTGAATTAAAGTTGTAATACAACTTGATTGTACTTGTATTGGTTCAAAGAAATTCCAGGTTCAGATTGTTGATTCTTGCTATGTCAAAAGCTTTAAACTATAACAGGGTAGGTTTATACTGGTGTACACCATCTGCCGTAACAATAATAGGTCCTTAACCCAAATTTTAACATATCTACAGAGAGCGAAAAGGGCATTGACTTGTATCCTTTCGCAGTAAAGGGTATCTCACTTTGCGGCAAATGCATGGGTACGTAACGAATTTGGGGTTTCGCCAAGGTTCATAAAAGGTTGCAAAAGATTCGTAAAAGGTTGCAAGAAAGTTCGCAAACACTTTTCATTGTCGTAAACAGTTTTTCTTTGCGAATTTATTTTTCTGCAAAAATTTGCAAGCGTTTGCAAAACAGTCGTAAGTGTTTGTAAAACAGTTGTAAGCCTTTGCAAACGGTTGTAAGGCGGTGGCGCTAAAGTTCTTTTTGATTTGCCAATGCTAGCGACAACGTTACCATATGGTTCCTATATGAATCGACCCATTGAGTACCAGGAGTTAGCAAAAGGTCCCCAACATTCACAAATAGTGGCAAAGGATTGGCAAATAGTTGCTAATCTTTGCAAAAACTGTTGCTAACATTTGCCAATACAGTCCCTAATTGTTACCAACTGCCTTTCGCAAACATTTGCTCAAATGTTGCTAATTGTCGCTAAACATCGCTAAAAGTCGTTAATTGTCGCAGAGGCGAACCCTGATTTTTGCAAAACATTCGTCAGAAAATGGCAACGTTCGTAAGCATTCGCCGCTCAGTGAGATGCACCCTTTAGCATGCAGTTAACACCCTTCTATTTCTTAGCAGATCATTATTTTGAATGAGGTATAATTGTTTTTTCAGATTCTTATCTAGATCATCTAGTTATTTTTTGCAAAACCAATTGATTGTGAATATGACCTGGGAGTTTCCTTGTTGAGTAGGTGTGAAG